CACGGGTCCTAAAAACAGGTCCATCTGTGGCCAAAGCCACGCAATAACATGGGAACAGGAAATAAAGTAACTCACAGTCTAGTTCGTCCTCTTTGTCCGTAAACCGGAGCGTAAAGTCGTTGGAGTCGTAACATTTTTCTGGGTTTGAGCTCATCTTGAGCGTTTCTCTTGTTTCCTCCGAAGAAATGAGACACAACCCGGCCCCAGACCAGCTCTAATCTGACGAAAGGGGGATGTCCAGCGCACTGAATCTAACAAAAAGCTTTCGATTTCATTACGTTTTATTTTTCCACACAAACCGCCACCCAGCCGTCGGAAGCTCGGTCAAATGTGATGAAAAAAGAGATAGTGTGACACGCCCATAAGCGTTGAGTCAGTTTCTGTTTTTGTGAAGTGACACCTAAAATAGGAGTAGAACCCCCCAGCTTTCGAGTTTGTTTAGTCGAAGACAAACACAATGGTTTAACAACCCTTGTTCTTTCCGGCCGTTTTCTTATTCTAACAGAAGCTTTATAAGGGGAAGCCCACACATCTGAGCATCTCGAGAAAAATGACGTGTAAATGAACTTAATATGTCTCTAAATGTCTGCTTGAACAACTCTTTATGTCTCTTTTGAGTGTTAATGTTGTTTTTTCTTTGAGGTTGTGTATCAGGCCTGTCTCCACCCACATATAAAAGTATGAAATACTTCATGTACTCGTGTTCTTTTATTCCGTTTTTATTATGTAATATCCTGTTCCTCTTTAACATTCATTTTAAATAAATAAACAGCAAGTGTGTCCCTTTATTTCATTATTCATTTGGGACTTTTGCTCAGCTGAATGGCTGGAAAAAGCTGATTATATGCAGCGAAAAGCATCATTAAGTTAAACTTGTGAGGGTTTATTACTTTACAGCTTCTGTCTTTTGATCCTGGCTGAAAAATGGACCTTTGACAACAGGTGTGTGGTCAGTGGAATGAAGAGAGAAACTGATCTTAGTTGGGAGGATACATTTATTTGGCAAACATTTAAAAAAAGACAGCTTAACGACGACATGACGCTTTAACGGTGAGTGGGTGCAGTCCGGCTTTGGCCTCACGCGGCCAGGCCTCCGTCCAGCGTCATGACCATCTGGATGATCGACCTGTGCTGGATCCCGTATTCACAGAGCAGTTTAGTGTCCGCGTCCAGTCTCTTCGTGGCGAAGACCAGCTGCATGTCGACCACCGCCCGTTCTGCGCTCATGCGTAATTACGCACAAGGAGGGGAGACAAAACAGGGAGAAACCAATCAGATCGGGGTAGTTATTTGGCTGTCCACGTCACTGGGATTTACCTAATTATTTCTAATGGCCTTTCAGCCTTCCCAGTTAATTTTAATCAGTGTCATACATTTTAAAATCCATTAAAAGGGTTAAAGGGGTTCATCCGGATGTGAGAATGAACGAACTCAGATTCAGTTACGTGACAGGTGTGGCCCGTATCAGCCAAGAACACTGATTTGACTCACTCCAACACATCGATTAGACTTTTTAAAAAGGTTTTCTGTGGCGGATAACAGTTTGAACCGGCTCCACATCTGGACTCACTTACCGGGACTCCCGGGAAGCTTGAGCGCTATTTTCTTTTTCAGCTGCAGGACGGTCATCAGCTGTAACTCTTTCTCGTTGTTCGCGACGTCCACGGTCATCTTGTCCCCACCGAAGCCGTACACCACGACCTGGATCACCATCTCGTCCTGTCTCTGTGTCGGTTTTGGAGGCGCGAGGTGCTGCTGAGATTCTGCGAATCTGGCGAATGAAAAGGAAACAGCGAGCCGGGCTGGTTTTGATACCAAACGGGGCGTCACAGACTTCTGTTTGGTTTCGATTTTGCAGAACAGACTACATCTCGGGCCAAGTAAAATGGTAGATATTAAGAATAAACAGGACTCTCCCAGAAATTACTTGTATCGATCTGACGGTCTCTGGGTCTGGAACACTGTGATTGACAGGCAGATGCTCGTTGTTTACGGTTTACCACGTGTCTGTCATCTCACGGGGAATGTTTTTTTTTTTTTAGTTTCACGACGTGGACGTTTTCCCCAGTTTTGGAAAAAAAAGTTTGCCAAACAAATCGTGAATAAGCATGTTTTCAGTCCCTCCGAGTCATTTTAGGGGGGAATAAACTCAGATGAACGATTTCCAATTTGCCCTGAACGCTTCATTCTTTCGGGAGGAGTGGCGACGGACGAAATAGAAAGTGTGTGTGTGTGTGTTTTCAGAGAAGTCAGAGCAGAAGCTGTCAGCGTGCCGTGGACTGTGCCGTGCGTAAAGGGATAAAACTCTTTATTAGCCTTAGATAGCACGAGTATATGAAAAAAAAAAACAGCAACATTAGATGAACTGGATCTCCGGTCTGATGGGGAAAAATAGAAAAAAATCTGCAGGTAAGACACGGAACAATTGCGGTGGTCATCTTTT